AGGCAAGCCGATCTAAAGTTACATGTGATGCAACATTTGGGCAAATTTTTTACAAAATGAAAATCCATAAAGACTTGCACCAAAAGCAGGCCGGTCCAAGTTCACGTACGCTGCAACACTTAGATGAATTCATTCAATGAGAAATAATACAATAAGTTTCAAAACTTGTACTTGAAAAGTAGACAAAAGTAATATCTAAAACGGTTTGTTCATTCAATAAAAAGTAGTGTAGAAAGTTTAAAAATTAACAGAGCAAAGTGAAGTTAACTACAATCCAAAAGGAGGGAACTAGGAGGCTGGAAGGTTCGTAGGAGCTAGGACACGTCCCCAATGTCTTTGTCAGGTGGAGGAATACGGACTCACCCAGCCTCTGACAATCTCTAAAGCTCCTGCCACGGCTCGTCTAGGGCCTCTTCTAAAAATGCAGTGTCGAAATTCGGCCTCTCCTTACTGATGTCCTTTATAATCTCCTCTAAGGCCATAACATAGGCATCCTAAGCAAGAGCATCAAACTCAGGAGAGGCCCTTTAGGCCTCCACAGTATTCACATTTTTAGCTTCAGCCGCCTCAGCCCTCTTGGTGGCCTCCTTGGCCCTTTTTCAGCCTCATTGGCACAAGCTCTCTCCTTCCTCAACAAGGGCTCGCGCCTTCCCAACGCTCTTCTTCTCAGCCGCAGCTCTTCTGTTGGCCTTCTCCTCCCACACTTTCAGGGCTTCGTTGTCCTCCGTTAAGTTCAGCTCGGAGGTGGATTTAGTCTCCAACTCCGCCTCCATTTTATTCAAGTGATCCTCGTACTCCATCTCATTCTCTGAGAACATCACCCTTTCAGCTTCCACGTTTTCATAAAAGCTCGGTACTTAGTCCTTTGCCTCAAGCATTTTATCCAGCTTAGCCGTCACCCAGGACAACTAAATATGAATCAAAGTTATTCATTGGCAAAGGCATAAATTCTCGTGTACAAGTTCAAAAAGTATACCTTATCGGCCACAGACATCATATAATATACCTTATCGACCACATACATCATATATAACACTAATTTGTGGCTATGAAGCTAGGCAGAAATGATGGCCTCTCAAACCGTCATCTCCGCTAAGAAGTTCTGCTCCCGCTCGTTCTAACTTCTAGTAAGGAGGTTGGCGAATTCACGAAGAGAGGTAGGGAGGGCAACTGTATTCTTCCTAGCTGGAGAAGGAGTTCGGAGAAAGTCCAGAAATATCTTCGGACGACGGCCAAGGAAACCCTCCACATTGGGCCTCTAGAGGTCGGGAAACCTCTCTTGTGACCTCGTAGAACTGGCTACCATAACTGGGAAAGTAGGTGACGGCTGAGATGGCATGGCCTCAATAGTAGCCGAAGGAGAAACTCGCTCTGGAGAAGAAGTTACTGACATCGACACAAGCCGCGGATCAGAGAGAGCTCGTTCCAAGGGTTGGACCTTTTCCACGTCGACCTCCTCAAGCTGACCAGCGATCTGAGCCAGGGTTTCCTTCATTTTTCCCTTTTTGGCAGCAGCTACATTTGCTAATTTGTATCCCCAACATGTCTAAGAAGGCCTTGTGTAAGAAATAAGAAAACTTTTAATACTTCAATAAAAATGGACACATATTTTCTTAGGACGGTTAAATCTTACCAGAAGTGGTGAGAGCAGAGGATGAGGCATCAGATGTGGAGGACGGGGGCAGAGCTCGGAACAACCCCACCTGGTAGAGGCTAGTGTCAAAAATCACAAACTTGCAAGACCTCTGCTTCTTAGGCAAAGCCCTGATTATTTCTACCCGCCTCTGGATCACTGCTGTTAGGGTGGTTTTCTTGTAATCTGCAACAAAAAAATAAAAATAAAATAAGCATGGTTAGGATCACACTACTGGTAGGGTTAGACAAGCATGAGAGATTAACTACTTACATAATGGGTGATAAAAAGTAGGAACAATGTCCTCCCTATTCACCTTAGCAGAATGGAACTGCCAGTCCCACAGCACAAAGAAGAATTCCTCCTCCATTCTTAATCAATGGATGAGTGTCTAACATCAGGAGCCACCCTTCCTTAGCTTAACACTGGTATACCACCAGTCTAAGTTCTTCCCATCCGCTTTGAAGGTAAAAAGTGAATTGAATTGCTCAACACTCATATCAGGGTTCCTAAATTTACTCCACAGGATGATAGTGGCGATCAAGGTCCATCACCCATTGGGGCATAACTGAGTGAGAACTATACCCCAGAAAGTCAAAAATTTCTGATGACTCCAAGAAAGAGAAGTCTATCAGCATTCAGGATTGTCGAATTCAAAGCTATGCATCCCACTGGAAAAGCGTTAGCTCGATCTGATGGTTCAGGAATAACCTATTATATGCACATTTCATGAGAAGCACAACTCATTTAATGGTTCCACATTCAACTTTCTCGCAACCTTTGCATCCTTGAAGAATTTGTCCTCTTGAGCTATAGTTAGCATGCTTGTGCAATTCTGTGATTCCACGCGTTGATCGTGAAACCATTGTTGCAGTTTGTTATGAATGGTTTCAATCATTGCAAGAATTGGTAACTCTTGATCCTTCTTGAACATTCATTAAAAGACTCCGTATTGTTCAACGTCATCATGTTGTATCAACGTCCTAGAAAATATGACCGTACCCAATGTTCGATCCCCATTTTTGTTAGATAATCTCATGCCTGGAATGATTTATTTCATGTTTCATCCATAAACTTATTACACTCCTCAACACTATAAGTTTGGCCAGATCTTCTGAACAATAAAACGATGCATTTGTCATGATACCTAATCATTAGATTGCCTTGTATATGGTACATGCAATACCCATAATGTGCTTCAAGAAAAACTTCAGCGACATCATTTATTATAGACAGACCTTGATTAGTTACAAAGGCAAGGTCCTCAACTTCCTCGATCACTTCCTTCAGATTTTTAAAGAACCAATGTATCGATAGATTATTCTAGCTATCGACTATGCCGAATATAAGAGGGTAAATTTGGATATTGACATTTTGACATGTAGTAATAATCAACTTGCATTGTGATCTAGCTTTCAAATTTATACCATCGAGTAGAATTACAGGTCACATCGCATTTCGAAATCCTGGAATGCATTATCCAAAAGACATTAAGAAAAATTTAAAGCAATTCTTATCTTCTGTCTCAATAAAAAATGCCGAGTCTGGATTAGTTTCCCGTGTTATGGCAATATTCGGTCAATTTAACATAGCTCTTCTCGACTGAGCCCATTAAATCCCCAATATGCATTATTGACCTTCTAAACCTTCTGATAGCTCATGATCACTCCGTGCTCTCGACGGACATCGTTGATGATATCCAAAGGTCTGTAGATCGTGCGTGGGTCCTAATACTTGTACATTATCTGTCGACCAATAAATCATGCTCGAACTTGTTTGTAATCGTTTCAACGAATTCACACTTTGCAGGTATGTTTCCATTTATACTTGCGAAATAACTCATTCGTGTTCATCTTAGTCATTCAAACACCAATGGCAACTGTCATCTACGCAAATAATTTTCAACAATGACTTGTTTGATTTTTTTTACCCTAAACATAAATTTGTATTTTAATGTCATCCGGTGCACAACTTCCTACAAATCTTTCTTTGTTTTAAACAATTGCTCAACATGTAAATCCTCATCATTGGGAACCACACGTAAAGGATTAAAGAACAATCCACTCGGTCCAACCTCTGAGCTCCTATCCCGTCCATGTCTCTGATAGGGATAAAGCAATCAAATCATCATTTATAAATTCATTTTCATCTCATTGTTGTGAACTACTGACGAAATTTTATGCGTACAGCGAGATTATGATGAGGAGCAATTGTCTCGAGAATAACCACATCATTCTCACGAGTTATCTCGATTGTATCCAAAAATCATTGGCATTGTCATTCGCTTCATCAAAATCTTCCTATTCAACTTCGGCGACTTCCTTCGTCACTAAAGTCACGCAGAAAGAGTCATGTGCATTTTGTTCAATTCAAATAGATAATTCACTTTAGCATCAGAAGTAATCTTCATAAGTGAAATTAGGAATAAATGAATACTCATTGAATAGAAATTTCAGTTCCATATCATACTGAGAAGTATCGACATTTAGCTTGTTTGTAAGTCATGGTATATTCCCGCGTACGTTGTACTCTGTTATAGAAATCGGAATACCATCGACATTCAACTTGTTTTGTAAGTCATGATATATTCCCGCGAACGTTGTACTCTGTTATGGAAATTGGAATACCACCATGCATATGACTCGTCCATTTCCATACCTATCAATCATTTTCATCCAATTCGAAATCATCAAAGTAATAAATTAGGATTATAATCATATCTCCATGACAAAATAGAATTTTTAATTATAAGAAAAAATAGTCAGGAATTCAGCTCAAATTTTATTTAAAAAATGATTTACACCGACTATTAACAATCCAGGTCGGCCCAGCTGGCCGTTACGACGGTAATCAGCTGCCTGTTATCGCGGTTATCGTCAGCTATTATGGTCAATCAATTAAGAAGATGAATTTTTTCTTGTTCATGCTTAGAAAAATTATAGATATGTTAAAAAAATTATTTAAATGCTAATTTATGTCGAAATAAGATTTATTGATTAAAAAGTATATTAATCTAACAAAAACGAAATTAAATATACTTAAATATATTTACCGATTCGAATTGATTGATATAAAAAAAAAAATTTAACTTTCGATAAATTTCTTTGGAGGTTGGAATAGATAAGAGATGAGAGAAACTTTATCTGTGTTATAATAAATATATAAGAACAGTTATTTGATTTTAAAGTTTTAAGTGGGAAGTATTTAATTTTCACTTGTTAATTAAAAAGGCAGTATGCCTTTTAAACAAATCAATATTTTGTATAATATACTTAAGGGCATGTTTGTCCGAAGAAAATATTCTATTGTTCAAATGTCAAAATGGAAATTGAATGGTTGACCAAGCCCTTACTATCCATTTCCAAACTTTAGACCCAAATTGTCCGACCCGGAACGAAATTTATGAAAGAATTAGCGTCACCACTGGGTTCCCAAATCAAAGTTGGAGAAACTTCCGAAGGGAGAAATCTCGAAGATTTCGCAGCAATATGAGATCAAACATTGTTTCGGAGGTGCCAAATTTTCTGTACTCAAATGTATTATATGCAATTATCCAAATGTCCACACCAGGATTTCGGAATTTCCTGGGTTTATGCGAGTTCAAACCCTAGATGGATCACTCGTAGTCATGTGATCTATTCAGGAACTTCCAGCTAGTTATGGAAAATGACGAGGCATATTTTTAAAATTTTACTGTTCGGCTAAAATTCGCGCGACATTGACGAAGTCTTTTGCCTTTTTACATGATAATTAGAAGTATGAGGATTTAGTATGATTTCAATCTGACACTTTTATAGCTAGACATTTATCTTGTACTTATGGATTCTGTTTCAGTCTTTAGAAAATAGTTTGCATTTTCTTAATTTCTTCCCCTTCAGATCATTGTTATAGCAGAATTTTAGTAAAGTAGGTGCCACTAGACCTAATGCGTTCAATTATGTGTTCATTATGCCTTTCATACCAAACGTCATGGGTTTGACTGTGAATTTGAACTGTTGAACTGCTTGTACAGGCGGGGCTGTCGACTAGGGTGAATCAATGGTGGGAAGGCATTCCTTTTCTCACATCGGCAATGGTGATTTTTTGTGGTGTTATTTACTTTGTTTGTCTTTTGGTTGGATATGACTCCTTTGCCGAAGTGTGCTTCTTACCCTCTGATGTTATTTCACGCTTTCAAGGTAATCTAGTTTTTCCTTATCATGACACAAATGCAATACAATTAGCTAAGAAATTTCATTTCTTCACTCTTCTAATGTGACTGCTGCATACATTCAGCCACCAATATATTTTTCTCACCCACTTGAATAAATATTCAGTTTTATGTATTTTCCTGGTGTTTGGCATGTTATTGCTTGTTTCCATATGTATTTCTGTAAGTGCAGTCTGCAATTTGTAATTGATGTTTAACTATTCTATTGTGCAATATTTAGGAAACAACTTGAACATATAAAGGTGGCCAATGCTGTATGTTTGGGACCACTGGATCATGATATGTGGCTATTGGTTGTCGGATAGCCTTATGCACTATGAGGAGTTGGGAAAACAATGTTCATTTCTGGCTATAATATAGGGATACAGACATCATTTTTCTTATATTTCAAAAGGTGCAGTTTCTGCATTATTGAAAAACCTAAAGATCCACCCCTGATTAAAATTCCCTTGCTGTATAAATCAAATGTATTATACATAGTAAGCCAAGGTAAGTGATTGGGACATTTAGTGTGCAAAAATTGGATTTAAAGAGATCCCGGCTTAATTTCTTGTAATTACGGATATGATAAATCTAATAGTGGACGGTAAAGTCTTTCCAGTTTGTCCTATGACTTATATTATTTCAATAAAGGTACAAAAGATCTTAACCACCTGAAAATGATAGAAACAAATAGGCGACAGTAAAAGCTTGGGCCGGGATTCTCGTGCTTGGTCTGCCTGCTCCAGGTTTATACGCCTGTATGCTAAGGTTAATGGTTTTCTAATAAAGAATTTAATTGCACCTACAAATGTTGGATTGATATTATCCTTTGTTAACAATCCATATGACCTGACTGCAGCAATCCTGCTGTAGACTCACATTTATAGCTTTTTCTTTTTGAAATTTCATTCTGATATCTTTCTCATTTCTGCATTTTCAATTTTTCAAAATATTCTTATTTTTATGGAAAAGAAAATTTTTGCAGTTACATTTTCTGCTTTTTTTCAATGGATAAATATTATTGGCTAATGACGTATGTTGTATGAAATATTTTATGCAAAAATGATTGAATTTGTGTCGAGAATAAAAGATTCATTGCTATAACTTGTACTCCTAGTAGACGAAGGACGACCTCACTATCTTTTCAGACTCAGCCTTGGAGCATTTGTCTTATTTGTGCATATATATCTCTTGTTCAAAGGGAGATTTATAATGATATCATCATCAGTAACATCGAATTTTTTATCTTTTCTTTCTTTTTCATGTTGTATGCAGTTTACAGGATTTACACGGCCATTCTGTTTCATGGTTCTCTACTACATGTTATGTTCAACATGTTGGCTTTGGTTCCTCTGGGCTCTGAACTGGAGAGAGTTATGGGATCCATTCGCTTGCTGTACATAATTATTCTACTGGCCACAAGCAATGCTATACTTCATCTTTTCGTAGCATTGTTGGTAGCTTATAATCCGTTTCACCCTTACGAGAATCTCATGAATGAGTGCGCAATTGGTTTCTCAGGGGTACTATTTTCAATGATTGTGATAGAGACAGGCCTCAGTGGAGTCCAATCTCGTAGGTTTGTCTTGATTATTGCTACTCTTAATATTAATATTCTTTGTACACTATAGTTTCATCTCTATTATTCCCCACATTCTACTATAAGCAACAACAAACAAGAAATTAGTCCTCATACCCAATAGATTTAGAGTTGTTTCCATAAATCCTTTTTGCAATTTGCAGTACTGTTGTCCATCGCATCTTTCCTTCATTCTACTATGAAACTTAAATTATATCACCCAAAATTTTGTTATATTTCACAATCAATTATCCATTTCAGTTGATGGACTTCATATAATCTATTTAAGTTATTCTTCAGCTAATCTGCATACTACTGTTGATTTCTTCCTTTTCTGCAGTGTCTTTGGACTTTTTCATGTGGCCACAAAATGGTGAGTGAAGTCATTTCCTAAATGTTTTACTTGAGCTTTCATAAAGTGCTTTCCGTAGATTTCTGTGTGACATTTTTCTTATATTAACTTCAGGTATCCTTGGATCTTGTTAGTGGTGTTTCAACTTCTTATGCCAAACGTTTCACTACTTGGACACCTATGCGGCATTTTGTCTGGGTTTGCATGTATGTGATCGAATTCTTTTATAGTCATATTATTACCTGTCTCTTGATGGCTTTTCCTCTCTACCATATTAATAGTGTTTTCCTTCTGGCAACAGATACTTGGGGGCTTTTTAAATTTCTAATTCCTGGAACATCCTTCTATTCCAGCATTGAATCCTTCTCTTGGATGGTAAGTGCCCTTCGAATATTAGCTATAGGATGTACTACTTAGTAATGTCTTACTTTCAGTTAATAGTAGCGTCAATATGCTGACATGATGTGCTGGCTTGACATAGTGTTTTTGTTTTTGAACTATTTCATATAATTTCCTGTTCTTAAGCTATATGATTGATCAGTATTTGGAAGTCGCATCTCTCTACTCTTATGATAAATATCTTACCTTCAATTTTTTTCTGAGGCAGTGAGGTTTTTTTTAATAATTCCTCTCGTTAAGCTCTTGTGAAATCATGGGAAAGGTAGGATTACATGATCAGTATTGTCAACCATAAATTGGCGGTAGTATACAGTCAGAAGAAGTTACTTTAGTTATTTGAGCACTTGGAATGCTGGCAGAAAGATTTAGATAAAAATGAAGTCTCACAGCTTTACAGATAGTGCTACTCCCGAGACCCAGTTCTTAAGGAAAAAGGTAAAAGAAGAAATACTTTTGTGTTTGAGCACTTCAGATGCTGCTGAAAGGTTTAATGAGAAATTTTATGTATTGCAGTCCCTTTGCGAAATCCCATCATCATTCTATTAGAATTCAAGGACCAAAGAGGATTCCGATTGCCGAACATTAGAATTAGGATGGTTTTATGGATTGCAAGAGAATGTGGTAGTAAATTACCCAAAGAAATTTTCTTTCTATTTTCAATTCTCATTAAAACTGAAGGCGGATGAGGGAAATGTTGACAGTTACCAATCCCAGTAATGGACCCCATTGTGGAATTTCTTCTTGTTGTGTCTTGAACACACTATAAGCACCTTTTCTGTCAGAGAGTTCGGTTTCACTTGCTGCTTATTGTGCCTGTTTCATAATTATGTTTTTGTAAAGCTATTTTTAAACCTTAAAATATGTTTTTTTTTCTAAATAAGAGTCTTTCTACCTTTTAGAGTTGATGCATGATGGCTTTGTATCCTCTCCTCTCTTTTTCGTCTTATCAAGAAATGATAGATCCAAAATTGTTGCTTCAGCAGATTGTGTTGAAATTAGTAAAAGGGAAGAAAGTGATATTAAATAAATGCATAAAGCACTGGTTATTGTCCATTTCAGCTATGCCAGTTTTTTCCTGAAATTTATATTTTGGTAACGTCCCTGCATGACACGTCTCAATTGTTTGTTTCCTTTGCTTAATTTTTTTTATTATTTATTTATTATTTTTATTATTTTTATTATTTTATTTTTTTGGGTTTTCCTTGCAGTCGAGTTGTGTGAGGAGACCTAAATTTATTATGTGCACTGGCGGTAATACTACAGGCTACATCCCCACACATTTGGGTCAAAATACAACATCAAGGTAGATCTTGCCTGGTTTTACTTTTTCATTAATGTGAATCTGTTGCCGTTTGTTTGGATCTCTGACACTGATTTTAATACGATATTTATGAACTGTGAAAAGTGGATTACTTTCTGGAAATGTATGGAGGAATCTGTCTTCGTGGATGCCACAAAGAGAAAGTAATTCTCAGGTATGACTTTGGACGTCTCGTTTTATCGACGTTGAATGGTGTGTTTCTAGAAGTTGCTTTGTGTACATGTTTTTGTGGATTGGCAATGGAGCTGGGTCTCACACACCAGACTGTCCAAGTAAATGTGCGGCAATTGGGTCCCTCAAAACTGCTCCTCATGGTCTAGTTAAGTTACCTAATCGAAACTGTAGCTTGGTTAGCAGTAACTACGAAAGTTTGATCATCTTGAGAACCCAAAGGTATCACGATGCAAGTGTGGAAATAAACTAGAAAGGTTATAAGTAAAGAAAGATGAATGTTTGAAACACACTTTATATTGCTCTTAATAGTGGTCTACAACTTGATGGGAGTAAAATGAGCTTGCTAGCCCTATTTACAATGGGGATTTGTATGAGATATTGTTAAGAGTTATACTGCATTCTCCTAATTGAATAGACTTGAGAATAGTGAATACAATTGAATGGAGAATATAATTACAACAGAAACCATAATAATTTTGAATGCTTAGCGCCAATAAAATGTGAAGGGTTTTTTTTTCCTGGTTATATGACTGTATTTTTATACTTTAGCTAATTCTCTAGGGTGATTAACTTGATAGAAGTTTTTGTATACGAATTCAATATTAGTACATGGGTGGCACTCTTGTCATATTTAGTATTTCATAAGATTCTGTAGACAGCAATCATCAACATGCAACAATAATTTTAGTGAAGTCACATGATGCTTTTAATGGTTGGTACTTTGAAGTGAAGAAATTATTTACCAGTAAAGTGAGCTATATTTTGTAGCTAATAGAATAAATGCAGGAAAATAATGTTCGCTAATGTATGATTTATGAGATGCAGGCAACAGAAGACAGTGACAGGTTCCCAGGGAGAGGAAGGACACTTGGTTCTGGTCTAAGTCAAGCAGCTCCTACTCCAAATCCTGATTCTACCTTACAAACTAGACTTCTGGATGACAGAAACAGCCTTGACCACCCATCACATCCAGCTAGACTGCAGATATCAGACGGAAGGTATTATAAAGTTCATTATGCATGTTAATCAACTAAATGAGCTCTTGAAAGCTCCTTTAAGTTACATGATTTGATATTTGGCTATTGGAAATCATTAAATTAATGGAGAATAGGGTAATGCAATTTTTCAATTCTAGAGCTTTGATGAATTTTTGTTGTTTGAATTTGTTTTCATTTTATGCAAAAAGTGCATCTGCATATTGCGTAATAATTCTCATTTATATAGCCTGCTACTATTGCAATATTACAAATGAACATCATAGTTGAATTCTATTTAGATCTCAGTATGTGTTGGCCCAATCATCATTCCCTTTCCAAGGTTTTGTGCAACTCTATTTCTGTTTTGTCAGGCCTCCAGCAGCAAATAGTACAGAGACACATACCAGATTGACAAGCAATCAGGTTCAGTTATCCGATAAAAATTCCTCCTTTTACCTATTACCCCGTGATGTTTTTTGATCCCTAAACATTTATTTAGTTGTTGATAAATGTAGGGTTCTGTTGCATCTGAAGAAGAAATTAAGAAACTGGTTGCAATGGGTTTTGAAAGGGTAAAAATATCATCTGATTGAGATTAGCAGATATTATGGAGTTGGATGAATATTAAGAGAGAGCGTCTTGATGTTTTTCAGACACAGGTTGAAATAGCAATGGCAGCGGCTGATGGAGATACAAATGTTGCAGTCGAAATTCTTATGAGCCAACAGGTATTCGTCTGAGCTACCAACTTACCAGTATGTGCTGAAATGTCAGTTCTCAATAATTACTTGCAATATCTGATTATTAGCAGGGATAGCTGATGGCCAGGAGTGCTTTCCACCATCACATACAGAACCCGCAAGTGAAAATTTTGTATAAACTGCATAATGTTCTTGCTCCTGGTGTTGCATATATTGTGGTAGTCACTCCATAAGAACAAGATTTCTGTTGCTTACCTTGCCCTTATTGTTGAGGACTGAATTGTGCTATACATCTCTTGGATAAGGAAAAGCAGAAAATATACAAGGTCTATGTACACATCTGCAGTGAGAATGAGAATCTAGCATGGCCTTCAATTTTGAAGGAAAACGGTCTTTTTTTAGTGAATCCACATGGAGCAGTGGCAAAATAAGTAAACAAAAATGATTTTTTAATGGAAGAAATTAAGAAAGAGAAAATATGAGAAAAGAAAAACAATCAACTTGGTACATGTTAACACTCTTATCTTATGATTCAAATTACTAGATTTTTTATGATTTCCAATTTGAATATTGGTATTTATGGAAAGAATTAGGGGGCGTTCGCTTTGCGTTTCTGTTTTCTATTTTCTGTTTTCAATTTCATTTTGAATTTTGTGTTTTGAGTGTTTGTTTTCAAATTGTTGAAAATACGTTTGGTTTGTCATTTTGAAAAACTATTTCTCAAAACAAAAAATTAGAAAATGTGTTTTGTTTACAAAATTTAGAAAACATTTTCACACACTCTCTCTCAATACTGCCACCTATGGAGCATTATCTCCCACTTTCCGGCCACCATGGTCACTGGATCATAGTACCACCTTAAAGCCTGCAATGCCGTCTATAAATCCAACCCAACAGTTGGCCCTAACTCCGGTCGATCAGGCCGGAATTTCTGCTCAAAATCAACAAGTCGCGAGGTCGAAAACTCCCATTCCGACGATGATTTCTGAATGAATTGATGAAATTGAAGTGTTACTCATGATTGTAGGGACATGATTCACCCTTGACCGATGCCAATCGACTGATTCAAATTGGCCAGAAACATGAATCGGTATCGTTGCTTCGTTCTCGCTACTACTGTATTTGAGTAGATTCACATCTCAACGAATTGGTATATTATTGGTTGATGTTAGGACATGATATTGTTCGCCCGGATGAGGGCAATCGACTGTTGGTGGTGCGCGATCGTGGGCGTCGCCGGAATGGGAGTTTTCCAGCAGAAAAGTGTGTGTGACATTTGTGTTTTTGGTTGGATTTTCTATTGCCTCCGATTGATTTTGTGGCTGATGGTTGGTTGGATATTGTAGAGGGGAATGACGCAAGGCTTCTAGTGGTTGAAACAGGTGGTTTCGTTGTCGGAAGGTGGTGATTTCGGCAGTTGAGGAGGCTCGGGAGAGGAAGCCGGGAAATTTGTTCAGCCAGAAGAGTGTCCGTTTTCCACAATTTTCCCCTTTTGTGAAGAAAACACCCAAAATGTGATTTTCACGTTTTTCGTTTTCTTCAGTAATTTTTTTTTGTTTTCAAAAATGTGTTTTTGAAAATGTGAAACCAAACTCGTTTTCGACGTTTTCGAAGACTAAAAATGGAAAATGGCTCAAAAAGGGCAAAGGGAACGCACCCTTAATGATTGAAAGCCGATATGGGCTTTCACTATTCATTCGATGCTGGTTTTTTTCAATCTTTTTTTGTTGGTGATAAAAGTTGTTTTCCAATTAATGCACTCTTTTTTTTGTTTTTAAATATTATTATGTAAGAAACTAACTGATGTTACAAATTTAAACAATGGCCGCTGAGAAATTTTTTCTTTCTCAACTGCAAATTTTAAGATTTGCTATTTGGCTCCTTAATTTTGAGATACGGAGCCAACTACTAGCTTAATTATTCTTACTAAATAAGAAGAGCACATAGCAAAAACTACTAAATGTCACATCACTCTTGAAATGATTTTTTTTCCCCGTATTTGCTAAGAAGTGCAAACAGTGTTGGAAATTGTTCAAATACATAACTGTTGAGTCATCGAGGTTTTAAAATGATATTCTAAGTTGGGAAAGTCATGTGATGATTGGCGAAAAGGAAGATAAGAAACTAGAGGTTCAAGGCATGTTTGCATAAGATAACATTGCTCAAGGCCTCGTAGTTCCGTCATCCGTGATAGGCCTCGAGCCACTTGTAGGCAACATTAACAATAGAGTCAAGCCATGTGACATCAGAAGTTGCATGACTTATTTTGTTAGATCATAGTCTGTCTTTGTATTTTTTAGTACATGCTTATCATGTTGGATAAAACTTTGAAGATCGAACTGTCTGTAATTTATTTTGATTAGTATGTACTTTGAGGGATAGGTGATCCCGGTTTACATTGTGTGTGTGTTGGAAAAAATTTTGCATTTTAGGTTGCTTTTGTCGATCTTACAAGAGGTACTCAATCAATTTTTCAAAAAAATTATTATAATCATAGCAGGTCAAAGTTATTCTTGGTGGTAGGTTCGATGTCTAGTTGGCATGTATCAACGATGCACATCATATTGTGGATCGATTAGAGTGATTTGGAATGCAGTGTGTCAATTACCGTCGTATAACACCATCGTTCGAATAGGAAAGGTGACATAATGAAGCAAGGCTATGTAGACCACCACCATGAAGCCAAGTGTAGGCCTGGCAGCTGAGGGGAGCAATTGTCAATGACGACAGAAGCCGTGGACAAGACGGAGATATTGGTGGTTATTAACAATAGCGAGGAGAGATTCTATGCATTGGAATGGGTTCTTTACAAGTTCTTCGAGCAACCATTGGGTGTTGCAACGTACCAACTCACTACTGTACCATGTGATATAGCCATTCCCCGATTGTGTCTTCTCTGTAACACCTGGTTAGGTTTTTGCCTCTCTCTACACATAAATTAATTGGCACAAATTTTAAATAGTATTGGTACACTATATTTTCTATATGTTTCTGGATCATCCTATGAACATATAAACATATATACATATATATATATATATATATATATATATATACACTTGGCTATTTATCCCTTGATGGGATCATCACTATTTGAAGCGACTTGCTTATGTGGCACAAAGGCACCGCCAAACCTATTGTTTCGTCGATAGGCTTTGGATGAATGGGTTTAGCGAAAGGCCGAGTCTTGATCACAATGACTATTCATGCAAAGACCATAAAGATTGTTAGGATATCTACTCATTTAGTCAACAATTAGTTGAGGAAATCGAGCAAATCAGATCCTTTAACCAATAATGCAACGACAACTGATTCTTTTGCAGATTTTCCTGATCAGTTTTAGTTAATTCAAATGTTTGATAAATGTTACCCTTTTGTATTCCTTCAATCTCTCTGGAGTTTTTTTACAGGTAAAAGCTGTGTGTGTTACATATAATACAAAGAAATCAACAAGAAATGCTTAGGGTCTGTTCTCTTTGTCGTTTTCCGATCGTTTTCAATTTTTGATTTTTCAAAATTGTGAAAACGCGTTCTCTTTCCCATTTTCCAAAACGAATTTTCGAAAAAAAAATTGTGAAGAAAACAGAAAATGGCAAAATCCCCGTTTTGGTTGTTTTCTTCAGAAAACCCACAAAACGTTCAAAACACGAAAACAAGAGAGAGAGAGAAAAAATTGAAGCCTGTCTGCCCGTCTTCATTCTTCCTTCTCATTCCTTCCGGCGTCTCTTCGTTCTCTCTTGTCGATGCCGGCATCTCCATATTCTGAGTGTCGCGACCTGTGGCTTGGGCCCATCTCAATCTTCTCTCTCTTTGACTGGCGTTTTGGGGGTTTTTTTGCTTCTTCGATTACTGTGAACTCAGCGTCTCTAGTTTTGGTGGTGGCGATTTTGGATTTAGTTGATGGTGGTACTGGCGGGCGACGATGGTGATTTTGGCAGTGGTGTTGATGGTTTTGGTACCGACGGTCGATTATGGTTTTGATTGTTTTGCTTTTTCAATCTGCTGATTTGGGGTTTTTCGACCCGTTCATAGTGACCCATTTCTCTTTTCAATCTGTTGGTTTGGGGGTTTTTTATTTTTTTGATCTGGTGCTGTGTGGTGACAATGAGTAGTGCTGGTGTGGTGTGGTGACTGGTAGTGGCGATTCCGATTGGCAGTGGATTGGTTGTGTTGATTGTGTTGGCCGTGGTGATTGTGTTGGCGGGGGTGATTGGTTGTGGTTGTTGCGATGGCAGTGGTGTTGTGGTGGTGTTTTGGTTGGCAATGGTGATTCTCAAAATTTACAAGTAAACACGTTTTTCATTTTGATGTTTTAAGAATATTTTTTTAGAATGACAAAAAGAACACGTTTTCAACAATTTCAAAATGGACACTTAAAACTCAAAACAAATTCAAAACTTAAACACGAAGAGAACAGCCCCTTATTGATTCAAAAACGGTTTCATAAGTTATGTACTCAGTTTGTGTTCTTTCTTAGTATCGGAGCCTTAAAAAGGGGCAAAAGCCTAATCTTTTTTTTTATTGATCGGTAAATGTAAATATATAGATAAAAAATGTACCATGTACAAATACACCGGACATACCCGGGCGAGACAATGTCCATAATCAAATACAAGTACACCGGGCATACTCGGGCGAATCAATGTCCATAAACATAAACAACTACTTCGGGCATACCCGGGCAAAGACAGTAGAAAGCTAATACAAAAGAAATCAAAGCTCCATGGCCAAGGATTCATAAAGAATCAAGACATCCGGATACAAAGTAAACATGACTTTGTATACGTGGGTCTTGATCCTTCTCACAATGGAATCCAAGTCATATGAGAGGTCTTCAAATAATTTCCTATTTCTCGTCAGCAAAATATAGTACACTGTGGTAGCAAGAGCAACTCTCTTCGCCTTGCTCAGCCACGAAGTCCCCCGAGCCTCCTTTTTCAACCATTTAAGAGCCATAGCAAGTGTCGTCATTGATCTTGTGATGTCAAGCCATCTCCTAATACTCCCCCATAATGAGGATGTGAAAGAGCACTTGAAGAAAAGATGCTCACAAGTCTCTTCAAAACATCCACAAAAGATACACTTGCGATCGATGTCCAAGTAGAGCAATTTGTCTTTGGTTAGGAGCTTTGATTGGGCCCCTAAACCCTAATCTTGCTAATACGCTTCTGCATTACACAAAATTCTCCATACAAATGGCCCCTAGCCCTGCTAATCCACTGACACCACCACCTCCCTCCCTCAACCTACTATCTGAGCAAATTTCCAACCTATATCTCAAAAATTGGTCGACCCCAACTACCTGCCTTGGAGCTTCCAATTCATGATCTTTTTGAAGAGC